ATAATTAAATAGTTAAATTATCAGTCTGAGCATAGTCAATAGTAATTGTTTATATTATTTTCAGTTTGATCAGGCATCAGCACTACCATTCAGTTTCAGTTTCAGCAGTTCCGGTAGGGACTCAGACTAAGTACTACATTGTTTATAATTACGCTACCATGTTCGAGGTATGTATATTCAGTATCCGCTCGGAATGGTCGCCGGTCCATTCTGGGTTCTAGTGGCCTAATCTAACCACTAGAGTGTGCACATGGTCCGGTATTAGTTTGTGTCGGGAGATTGCAGTATTAGTTTGTGCCGACAGATTTCAGTTATCAGTTACGTGACTTATGTCGCGAGATCAGACCGGTATCAGATATCAGTTAAGTTTCAGTTTCAGTTCAATTATATATGCTAAGATCATGATATTGTTATTATTTTCAATGTTTACATTAGTATGAGTTTCTGCAGAGCACAAGTGTTTTAGTGCTCACGCCCCCACGCATTTCATGTTTTTCAGGTCGCAGGGTCGGAGACGAGGAGTGAGCGGGCGGACTGTTTCAGGACATTTGTGATTATATGTATATATGTTTTTGCCACGCTTTGTTCCGCTAAAACTTTCAGTACTCATTTTCAGTTTTTGTTCCGACAGTAGTCGGATAAGACATATAACCGTTTTTATTTATCAGTTTAAAATTTTAACGGTTTTCAGAAAAATCAAGTTTTTCACGATAGCATCTCGAATCAGTTTTCGCAAAAATAAGTATTTTATTTATTTATTCAGATAATTGCGAAAAGTCGCGTACTCTGATATAGTAAAAAGTCGGGATGTTACAATTGGTATCAGAGCACGTTTCTGCGTCTCTAAAGAGTTTTTCAGACAGTAATTTTCAGAAAAACCTGAACCGTCACGCTCACGCCTCGCCGACTCCAGGTAAGTGCTGATTCAGTTTTTCAGTTATAAACCTATTACTTTGTCTATGCTCAGAAATCAGTAATCAGATTTAGTTAAGATGCTCGAATCAGGTTCATACTTTAGAGTTCCGACATAACTTTAGAATT